TATCGTTGAAACCACCCCCTATCAACCAAGGCCCATTATAATTGTTAGAGATGTTTTCTATGTTATTCCACAAAATATTCCTATATTGATAATTAGTTCTACCATAAATAGACAATAATCAAGTTTTGTGAATGGGTAATACCTCAATTGTAGCATGGATTTCCTGGTTCCTACGAACAAAATTGTGCTATGACCACCTCATGGTTCCACATAACAACCATTCCACCTGACTGCCCCTCCGCTAGAACCTCGATTAGCTCAGAAAATCTAAAATCCTCAAGCCATTGTTCATGATTAAGCATCACAGTTTCCATCAGGGTTACCATGCAGGGTCTATGAGTATCGATCATCTCCCTAAAATTTCTTCTGAAGTTGTCATTGTTCCCTCCCCGTATATTCCAAACAATAAAATTAGTTGGACGATTCATCGGATGATTTAAATTCCCGTTCACTGCCTCCCCATTCTCCCTCACCCCTCCCGGAAAGATAGGTTTCCTTCGTAGAGTTGGCACAAGTATCATGGCCCTGTTACCCACAGTTGGATCCTGTAGTGGCCTGATATCCATTGAGCACTTGTAGAGTGCTAGGGGACAGTTGAGTACGTGCCTCTTCTCCTGCATCTCCCTGAATAAAAACACCTTTACCCCGTTTAGATTTGAGAATTCTAGGACTTGCTCTAAGGCTAGGTTAAGGGGCTCTTCTACTTCTTCCTCCATTGCTACTTCTACCAGGCCTTGTTCTTGCATTGCATGTGGGTGGGGTGGTGGTGCATGAGGGTTCTCTTGGTTGAGAGGTTGTTCCTGTGGTTGATGATTGATTTCCCAAGGCATGAAGATGGGATTCAGTTGAGTTAGCATCTCTGATGGGAAGAAGGGAAGGTCTGGGAAGATATTTTGTGGTTGAATTGGGTTGAAGTGAGGTGGCATGTCCCACTGTTGTATCATTGCATGAACTAGATTGTGGTTCAATGATGGTGCTAGAGGGTGGAGGACATTGTTGAGCCAAATTCGGTTCAAGTAGTTGCTCATTGCCAGACCCATCCCCTCCGATATTAGTTGTGCTAGGTATTGAGTGTTGTGGAGGATTACTATTGCCTCCTGGCCATTGACGTGGATGCTGAACGAGACTGCATGTCTCATTAGCCCCATTTCCATCCACAAAAGTGGTTGGTAGTCTTGGGCTTGGGGAGGGGGGGGGGGGGGTTGGACATAGATCACTTGACTGTTTGCTGGTTGTGGTGGGTCTTGGGGTAGATTTTCCATGGTTGGATTTCTATGTTGCCTTAGTATTTGGATTAATCTATTCCTCCTTCTTAGAGAAAATGAGATTCTTGGCATTTTGAGTGGATTGATTGGTATTTAATGGGTTTCCAACAGGCGTGGGATTTGGGTTATCAATAAAGGGGATGGGATTGGTGGTAGAGGTAATGATTGGAGGATCTTCTTGCATGGTCTCTGAATGATCATCTTTTAGATTTATAGAGTGAATTTGAAAGGATTTGGTATCCTTGCCGTGTTCCCTTGGAATGGCCATTTGTTTATCTTTTGGTTCCTTAGAGGCCATGCGGACAACATGCTAAGGGGGTTTGATATTCTCAATTTTTAGGGAAAGATTGTTGCTTGTATGATCAATAATAGGAGGATTTGTAGTATGTTGATTAGCTTGTTTAGTGGCTTGCCGTGTAGTGTTAGTAGTCTTATTAGGGTTAATGATTTTATTGTTTATATCTAATAGCATGTCACGCTTTTTGTTGCTAGTAGAGGTAGGCACGTATGAGTCTGGTATTGCCACGTCACTCGCCAAAGAGTCCAAATGGCTAATTGCATGGGAGGTTTTAGGAGAAATATTATTTTTATTTATTTTAATTTTGTCCAAAACCATGTGCTCTTCATCTAAAATGGTGAAGTGGTTTTGGACTGGAAGAGTGGTATCATCTATGTTCTTCTTGGTCGTGATGTTCTTAGCAGGATCTTTTGATTTATATTGTAAAACTTGAGTGTCGATGTATTTACCTATGTTTGCATTGAATAGATTTACTGAGATACCTGGGCCTTGGAGCTTCTCCTTTGGGGTGTGGTTATTTTGCCGTATCGTTTGTCACATACTGTCTCTTGCCTTTGTTGAAGGTGACAATTTTTCATTCACCTTCTTGGTTCTCCTTAATTGATCTTGGTGTAGTAGTATCTGGGCAGGAGTTTGTTTTTGTATTTTGTTGGATAAACTTACACATGGTAGAGGTGTGCCCCAATCTTCCACACTTCATACATAGTAGATTTGTTTCTTCATAGTGAATATACTGCTTGTGAGTATCGATATAGATGAATGGTTGCACTGGGAGATCCAACGGAATTTACACACAGAGCCTAGCGTAGCGACCCCTCATTGTTGTTGATGTACAAACATCAATTTTTAGTAATCGACCAATAGAGTTGCCAATTTTTTCTAAAAGTTTTCCATCATAAAACTCTGTTGGTAATTGTGGCAATCTAATCCATATTGCTGAGGTAGTTAGTTTTTCGTTGGTAGCCACAAAATTTGGTTTCCATTTGATCACAGATAGATAATGACCATTTACAAACCATGGACCTTGATGAAGTGCTTCATCCATATTTTCCTTTTTTTGAATTTGATGATAAAATAGTCTTCTCCCAGATTAATTAAGGAGAAGATTTCCGTTGGTTTCAAAGCTCCTGAATTTTCTTTTTTAAGTATTGATGCATCATGCGTTTTCCAAACAGTTTGATAATGATGGAACATTGTCATGGTTCATAAATTATTTGCTTATCCTCCTCCGTAAGAGTGATCGATCTAATGCCTCGTGTGGGGGTGTGTATTAAAATTCCCAGTGCTTCTCCTTCTTCTGAAAAAGATTCTGACACCTCTATGTTGGATTGGCTAACATTTGGGGTAAATTCCATATGGTCTGAAGAAGTGACCATGTCCCTATATGACGTTTTAGCTTCTCCACCATCCTGTCGTGTTATAGATTGGGAGGTAATGTCAGGTGGTTTGGGGGTTTATTGAAGATAAAGATTCATAGGGTTGAGGGTTCATAGTAGGAGAACAGTAAATTTTGAGTAAATTTATTTATTATGTAATTTTTTCAAGTCCATATACTCTATTTTCTATCGAATCAGTGAAAACTCTCAACATTTTTTTTTTTTTGGGTAGGAGTATTCTGTCATGGATGGAGCATATTTTTGTTCCATTGCATTACATTAAAATGTACAAGAAAAGGTAAAAATAAGAGGAAATTGCTTTCTGCTTAGTAAATGAACATATTTGCGAGGAGTTAAACATATAAAATGCTTCCACCTCTAACGATAGATTATTGATTTTAGTCGGGTAAAATAGTGAGCACATGTGTTGATCTCTAATGGTAAGTAAAAAGAAAAAGAAAATTAAAAAAAGGTAAATGTTAATACTTGTAAGTTGTAACTCTCAACAGTAGCCCCCAAATTAATATATTTTGGACCATTTGTAGAACAAGATTCAAAATGAATTAATTTCTGTCCGTTACAACTGTAAGTCAGATAATAATCAAAAGAGTAAGTAATACTAATAACAAGGGGTATTAGGTAAAAAATTTACGGGGCGCCATATTTGGTCGTCGCTCGCTCCCATTTAACTTGTACCAATTTTTTTGAAAACGTTTAACTGGCACCTATGTAGTGGCATTTCATATTTTTCCGTTTTTCTGGCTTTTTATGCTTCTCTTCTTCTCCTTAGAAAAGTTTTATGGGCTATGTTGTACTTGCTGAAAAATCCAACAGGGTCTATTGTTTTCTCGTCATCTGCCGACGATCCTTTTCGTACTTCGCTAGTCGTTGTTTGCGCCATAAGAGAAGTTTAGCTTAAATGTGAAGAAATTCGAATTGAATTCGTTAGAGAGAGATAGCGCATGGTTGATGCTAATTAGGAATACCTATGGTTTAAGAAAAGAAGATAAGGTATTTACTCCAGAGTATGAAGTTAGAACTGCTTCACGTAAACTTCATACGCGATTTTAAAGTTAAATGGAAGTTATAAAGAACTTCAAATCCGACTTTTTGAAGTTAGATTGAAGTGATGGAAGAACTCGATTTTCTGAAGTTGCATTGAAACGATGTAATAACTACAGATCCGATTTTGAAGTTGCACTTTGAAGCGATAGAAAAACTTTAATTTATAATACTCTAAACTTGTAACTTCGGGGGCAAATTCTGTAATATAGTTTGAAGTGGGTAAATTTTACAAATTTTATGCAATATGGGTATGACTTTAATGATGGCCCAAAAATCAAATATATCTACACTACCCCGGGATAGGCAGTAGCTTCATCTGCATCCACAGCCCATTGCATGAAGCCCAAAAAGGATAGAACATATGCTCGATAATTTAGGGTAAAGTACACAAATAGTCCTCAAAATGCATTGTCTTGATTTTTTTCCTGCTTGAGCAAAATTTCAAATTTAACAAGTGTTGCCCCTCTCTTGCCCCATGAGCTATACTTTTAACTTTCGATCTTAAAGTTCTGCTCACGGGACAAGCAGGGTTCAAAAGTTAAATTATCGTATTTCTGCAATTTCTTAGATAATTAAAGATCGCGGCCCACAACAACTCATCCCGAATCTTTAGAATTTAGCCCTAAATAATGGGCTTAGTCCCTTTATCTACTCATCGTGAATGATAATTAAGAAATTGCCACTGTTTTAAAAGTAATCGAAGTTTAACAATTTTTTCATGTAAAGATAAAATCTAAACAAAAGCATCCTTAAAAATTTAGAGAAAATCCAGCATAATATGTTGGAGTTCGAATTTTTTACATAAGAGATTCAAGCATAATATGCTTAAATTTCATAATATGCTGGAAGTTTATTCGCAGGACTTAACAAAATAGCTGTTATTTTTCAATGTCTTTGTAAATCCAGAATATTTTTTAATTACCAATACGAAAATTAGCTAGCTTGTGTTATTTTCAGAGAATTTAGCCTTATAACGGGCTTAGTCCCTTTGTCTTGCTCTTTGTTATCTAACCACGGCCTTATCTGTTTTTCGCAAAATCGTCGAAATTCCTAAAGAGCGGTATCCAGGCACACCACCTGTTTGATATTTGTCGTAAATCGTTGAAGTTCCTAAAGAGCTGTCCACGCACACCACCTGTTTGATATTCTGTCGCGTCACTTTACCCTCGTCTCCTTCCTGGTAAAAATCCTGAACTTTCGTCCTCGTAACACCTTTCAAATTCTAGTAACTCTTCTGTTCCTTTAACTACATTCTTACCTAGCTTTTCTTAGGTTGTCATTTGCATGTAAGCTATATGTACTTCAACCGATTCTACAAAATAAACAGTACCTTCAATAATTTATCTTTGCAGTTTCGCCGTTTCTTGAGAACCCAAAATGTAAATAAAGTAGATTTGTATTTCCAGAGAGCGAGACTTATTGATTCAATCAGACTCGCTCTTCGGTCTAATTCTTCAGATAATCTTATTCCCCATCTCGAGAATCCTACTTTGGACTCTTTCGTAGTCACTAATGCACTTCAATCAGCTCCCTCTCCTGATTCAGCTCTCAGTTTGATTGAGAATCTCAAAACAATTCCCCATTTCGCGCATACCCACAACACACTTTATGCATTGGCCAAGGTTCTTGCTAAGGCGCATGAAACTGCTAAACTCCAAGCCCTTATCAATGCCATTAATTCGGGCAAGTTCATTAATGTTGCGCGTGTTAGTTATATGGATCAGATGCGATGGTATGCTATTAGTAAAGAGTTTAAGGAGGTTGTTCGTGCCTGGGACGAGTGGAGGATAACCCTTCAAAAGCATCCGTGTACTGAGTCTTATAACATTGTAATGGGACTATGTGTTCAGTTGGGTAAGGACAGTGATGCTGTGAGGGTATTCCATAGAATGATCGAAGAAGGGGCACTTCCTAATTGTAGGACGTACACTATTCTAATTGAGCATCTTGTTAGATCGAGAAAGTTGGATTCAGCCATTGAGCTTTTCCACATGTTGCCTCATGTTAGGATGAAACGGACATTAAAGCAGTATTCTGTTCTAGTGGAAGCATTCAGTATTGCCAATCAATTAGATGTTGTCAAAATTTTGCTTGATCAGATGAAGAGTGATGGAATATTGCCTGGTGAAGCTATGCTTTGGTCATTCCAGCAGATGCAGGATGCTGGTTATGATGCTGAGACAAATGAATTGCTAAGGGACATGTTACCGGATGGGAGGATTAAGAAGATAGGTTACTCTATGGACAGTAGTGAAGACGATAATGATGATGAAGATGAAGATAAAGAGAGTGACTGTGACCATACTAATGTTGTGGATCAACCTCACCTGAAGCCATGGTTGGATCCAGCTTCTTTAGCTAATGCTTTGCGGAAATGGGGAGCTGAGGAGGTGTCAGCATTGGAGGATGCAAAATTAGTTTGGACGACTAGGTTGGTTTGCAAGATGATCAGGAGCTTCAAGTCAGCAGAAACAGCTTGGCAATTCTTCTGCTGGGTTGCTTGTCAGCCAGGATTCAATCATGATATATACACAATTTCAAGAATGATCACAAGATTAGCTCGCCAAGGATGTGTCGATTTGGTTGATCAACTTTTGTCCAAGGTTGAAAGAGAGGGCATTCAATTGTCATTCAGCACGGTTCAGTTAATTATAGATTTTTATGGGATTTCTGGTAATGGGGATCCCGCCCTTAGGGTTTTCAATAGCATTAAAACGATCTGTGGTCCGATATCTAAAAGCAGTCAGCTGCTTCTGTACTCATCTCTTCTAAGGACTTTGGTAAAATGTAATATGAACCCGGACGCCTTAAATATTCTCGAAGAAATGAGTTTACTCGGAATTGTTCCAGATTTGCAAACATATTCTGGACTAATGAACCATTTTGCGCTTCATGGAGATATAAAAACTGTGCAGAGGCTTTTTGGGATGGTCAGGCAGAGCGGTATAGAGCCTGATGCTTATATGTATAAAGTTCTCATCCATGCTTATTGCAAATGTGGAAGAGCTGCTCTTGCACTCAGGGTTTTTGAGGACATGAGGAACTCGAGGTTGTTGCCTGATGCTAACACCAAACAATTGCTTGTCAAGAGTCTCTGGAAGGAAGGCAAGCTACGAGAAGCTGCTTCTGTAGAAGAGAGAACCGAGGAAATAAGTGATGCTCTTCCCCTTGCTTTGCCTGGACATATGTTTACAGTGAGCTCTGCAGATCTTTCAAGAGTCTATAACATTTACTCCAAAAGTTTCCAGTCGACATGTAGTTGAAGGACTTTGTCATTGATCAGGATATAGAGATGTAGTGCTTTTCCAGGTCAATAAGCGTCTTCCTTCATATTTCAGGTCAACATCATCAACATCAAGCCTCATTAAGGAGGTCTGGTTATATGTTTATAGCATTTTAATTATGTTGATCAGAAATGAAAGCTTGATCTTTGTAATACTGTTGCTGAAAATCACGAACGATCAACCAGCCTTTTACTTGGCATCTGACCAAAACTCCTAGTTGTCGATAATGTTGCTGTTTACTTATATGTGGTGATATCGCAAATCACCTATTTGCTAGGGTTTAGTTTCTATCTTGTATTTCTACTTTGTAATCAAGATATACTCGTGATATATGTTTTATCAGAGCGTAGAGCTTTTGCTTTTTCGTACGCTCTCAGATTTTCGTACGTCCACACATGATGGATGCCCATTTTTCTGCCTCTAATGCTTTTTTTTTTCTTCTGCCTCTAAGACATAAATTATAGTTCTTGGGTTTTTACCTTATTTCCATGTAAAATTAGTTTTCTAGATTCTCAATATTTTTATCCTGGAAACTAAGCAGCCCTCAGTCCCTCATATCATTTCAGTGGGAAGGGCAGAAATCTTGTCAATAGAGGACCCTTCAGTTGGTATTTGAAGAAATTTTTAGTAGAAAAGATTGATAATAACGGCCAAGTGTTGGTTAAAATAATGATATTAAAGAGTTAATTGCGAAGATGGGAGAAGGCATTTTCCTCCTTTTAGTGAAAAGTGTTTTCTTTGGAACATATTTTTTAGCAATCAAGCACCAGAAGACGACTTATTTCCTGAAAATATTCACCGAAAACTATTCTTCGTCATACCAAATACACCTGGAATATCTCCAAGTAACTGACAATTGAAATATCTCCAAGAAATTGACAATTGGAATTTTTGCTTGCGTTATTATGTCCCTTTCTCCTAAGTAAGAGAGTGACACAGGCTCGACTTGCATGTGTTAAGCATATACCTAGGCTCCTAGCATCTATAACCACCTCTAAGACTTCATGCGTATCTCTAATTTTTTATTCTTAGTTGTTTACTTTCTGAACTTTGATAGGAAGGGGGAATCCGTGCCGTCTGGATTTGGTTCTAGCATTAATCTAATAGCTGAAGCTTCCATAGAAAAGGTTTGAAAGGGAATGTCATAGTCAAGGAGAAAGTAATGATTATATATACAAATGATTTCCTTTTGCTTGTTGAGAATATTTTATGAAACATTGTTGCATAGTGACAGAGACAGCTGCATAGAATATGAGAGTAGGCAGAGAAGACGAGGGTATCTCACAGACAAAGCTACAAACAAGGTCTCCTAGACAATATTATATCCTTCCAAACTTCAAGAATTTCTGTAGCTTTCAGATTAACGTTTCATAAATCCCTAAAATCAACTCTTGCTAGAGCTACCAAATAAACTTTCTAGTTGGTGCCTTGCTATCTAAGCTTGCAGCAATGGGAGTTCCTCTTGTCTCCTTGTTTTACAACTTTTTCCTCTTTCTCGTACTGTCATCCTCTAACATAACTGCTCAAACATCTAGTACAGACACAGACTTTTCGTGCTCGATAAACTCTTCCTTGTCTTGTGATACTTATGTCACATATCGTGCTCGTCCACCAAATTATTTTGATGTGGGAAGTATCTCCGATCTTCTTGAAGTAAGTCGTTTAAGTATAGCTAAGGCCACAGGTCTAGTCTCAGAGGATACCGAGCTATTCCCTGACCAGCTTTTACTCGTACCTGTTAAGTGCGACTGCAATGGTTCTCATTATTTCTCCAATGTCACCTATCAGATCAAGAAAGGTGAGAGCTTTTATTCAGCTTCAGTAGGAGCTTTTGAGAACCTTACTGACTATCATGTGGTGCAAGATATGAATCCAACACTAGATCCTACCAACTTGACAGTTGGGGTGGAAGCTGTTTTTCCTTTGCGTTGCAAATGCCCTGCACATTCTGATCTCGAAAAGGGACTTCAGTACCTTGTTACTTATGTGTGGCAGCCTTGGGATGATATATTGCCTGTAAGCAATATGTTTGGAGCATCTGCAGCTGACATTCTGGCCGCAAACAATAACAGAAATTTCACTGCTGCAATATGTCTTCCTGTCTTGATACCGGTAAAATTTCCTATTATTCTGCAATCTTATCCCTCTCCTACGAGCAGTAGTAAATCCAAACGTGGATGGATCCTCATTGCTGTTTTAAGTAGTATGGGGTTTCTTGTAGTTTTCTCATTGTGCTTGATGGTATACATGCGTCTTTTACATGAGAAGAGGAGAACATTAGCCCGTAATACTTCTACTCTGGAATCTTCTGATCTTATTCAGACCAAGAAAGCCTCCAAAAATGAAATTGTGGAGCATAAGACCATTCAAGATAAGCTTCTTCCTGGAGTTTCTGGCTATATTGGAAAGCCAATAATGTATGACCTGAAGATCATCATGGAGGCGACGAGGAACTTCAATGAAAGATACAGTATAGGAGGATCAGTCTACAAGGCCGCGATCAACGACCAGGTTGTAGCTGTCAAAAGAACTAACCGAGCCTCAGAGGAATTGATGATACTTCAGAAACTAAATCATGCAAATCTGGTGAAACTAATGGGCGTTTCATCAGACAATCACGGGAATTTCTTTTTGGTTTATGAATATGCTGAAAATGGCTCACTAGATAAGAGGTTGTTTCCCGAATCATCTGCTTCTGGCTCAGTGGTAATGCTCGGTTGGAGCCAAAGGTTACATATAGCATTGGATGTTGCAAATGCTCTGCAATACTTGCATGAACATAGTCAACCTAGCATTGTTCATAATGATATCCGAACGAGTAACATACTTCTTGATTCAAGGTTTAAAGCCAAAATTGCAAGTTTCTCTACAGCCACACATGCTACCAACTCAATGATGTTGAAAGTCGACGTGTTTGCTTTTGGGCTTGTGCTTTTGGAGTTGCTTTCAGGAAAGACAGCAATGGAGTCAAAAGATAATGATGAGATTCTGATGCTGAAAGAAATTAAGGGAATCTTAGAAGTTGAAGATAACAGTGAGGAGAAATTTAGAAGGTGGATGGATCCCAAGCTGAGCTTTTACCCTGTTGACGATGCTCTAAGCTTGGCTGCCTTGGCGAAGGCGTGCATATCCGAGAAATCAACAGAAAGGCCTAAAATGACAGATATTGTCTTCAACCTCAGTTTTCTTACTCAATCATCTTTTGAAATGTATGGAAGGTATTCAACTTCAGGTGAAGCTGAGGCGGCTTTTCAGATCGTCAGTCCAGTAATAGCTCGTTGACTTACAGATGCAGAGTATATGTAGCCAAGAATGTTGTCAGTTCATCTCAAATTTGTAACATATTCTGGATTATAAAGCAAGAGGAATTATAAGCTCTCTCCAGAATATATTGCAAATTCGAGTTCTCATGTGCAGTTATTCCCTCTAGTTCTCTTGCAGCTATAACGCAGTTGCTATTGTAAATTCTTGTGTAGGATGCTTTGCTAAACCACTCAGCTTTGGAATAAGTGAAGAGTAATTTGATATGTATTTCCATCTTTCACCCTCCAAAACAAGAAGAAAAACTATATTTCTGACAGATGTTAAAAACTCGTTCTTATTTATATCAAACTTGTTCTTTTTATATCTGGGATCTAAACGATACAAGTTTATTTTGTAAACTAGTTCTCTAATTTTTTGCATCCATCTGTATTTGATCAAGGTTGATGTTATTTTTCCCGACCAGTGTTTCCAGGTCGAGTCCCATATATATATGTGCGAAATGAAGTATAGATAATATGCTATATATGCATTTTAGAGCCAACTCTATCAACTCAGAACCCACGACGTCTAAATTCTGAATCCATTAAAAATAACCACTTTGCCCCTCCTTATTTCAGTCAGAAGAATCCCAAATGGCCAAATGTATAAGAAATCTGTCCTCAAATTAACCTGACTAGCTTCAAGGTACTCAGGTGCGAAGAAATTCTTTTCCACCCTGGATAAACCTTTTAGATTAATCTTTGTTCCTGGCCGTTCCAGCCAGAGACAAATATAGGACGGGTTCTAAATCTAATACCTTCGGCTTGAACTATGTTTACTAACGCCAAAAAAATAAATAAAAAAATAAAAAATAAAAAAAATAAAAATAAAAAGGTGAGATCGTGCTTATTCCAGACCTATTGACTCTAGATCCTGGATTTCCCTATTTTCAGTTCCAGCTCTGAGCGTCTGGATATTCATTCTTGGAGAGCTACATCTTTAGAAGTCTATGTTCTACATAAACTAAAAAATAAGAGCATCTATGAACCACCTAGAACATATACTTTTGTAGAGTTGTTCAGAAGTTGTGACAAAAAATTCCTACTTCAAAATTATACCATTCAGATGTTAAGGAGTGGATTCCTCTCCATCTTATTATAGATTCATCAGTGTATTACACATACTACAACGACATGCACTTGCATCCAAATTGTATTGAGTTGGGCATGTCCACCTCACATATAGCTCTTGAGGAAGTTCGATTTGATGTCCTTTTTGATACTTTCTTAATATACCGACCACCACACAAGGCGGTTTTAATTGAAAACTTAACAACAATGTCATGCCCCAAACCTGAAAAAGCGTGGCCGGCACTCGGTGCCATACTCAGCCCGAGTGTACAACTCTATAACTGTGAACTCTGGAGGGCTAACCATCAACTTAGGCCGAAGAGGCCATATTCTGAATCGTCTGAACATAACGTCTACAACCAACCATACCAAACTAAACATCTACATATGGCTGGTAAAACCACAATACTGATATAAAAAATGTACAGCACTCGTCTCCAAGACTCTAGGGATAACTGAACTGTATCATGGTCGGGACAGGGCCTCGACCTACCCATCAAACCTGTATATATAAAATGAACTCCAAGGTATAGACCTGGTAACTCCAACGAAGTGGAGACTACCAACCAAGCTGATGTTTGATTTTGTATACTAGGAAGGTCTATCCAGCTGTCTATCAGGACCTGCAGGCATGAAATGCAGCGTCCCCAGCAAAAGGGACGTTAGTACGAAATAATGTACCGAGTTTGTAAGGCAACAGAATAACTGACAGCTGAAACTGAACTGATAATATAATAACTTAAAGTACCTGGGAGTCAAAAATAATTTGAAAATATGCTTACCTGCTGATACTTACTCATCTCTCTCAATATAGTAAGTAAAATAGTTGTTCGGCCCTATAAGGCTCGGTATGTGTAACTGCTCTACCGTAGTAGGCTCGCTTATAGGCGCTCGACCATACTAGGCTCTGTATCTCAGCCATTTCGGGCTTGCTCATAGGTGCTCGGCCATAGTAGGCTCGGTATATAACTTACCATCTGATCTGAGGTTGCCCAATAGGGCCTTAATTAAGGAAATTAAGGAAATGTTTAGCCTTAACATTCCTTAACTCTGTTGAGTCCTTAATACCTTCCAAGCAATTCTTCAAACAACTCAACTCAATCTACCATAGCATAAGGAGATTCAAAATCAGTGCTGAGTAAAGGCTAAGTCCGTAACTTAAACTAGTAGCTCGTTTACGTAAATTTGGGCAGTATCTCCCCTGTAACAAGGCCCTCGTCCAATACCATATACCATCAACAAGATCACAACACTAACAGCATGTATGAATAATTTTCCAACCTTATCTCCATCACAATATACCACAAAATATCCCACACACCCTAATCACTTCATATATAAAACGACAACCAAAGCAGTGCCAAACAACCTAAAAAATATAACGACGAACGATCAGCCCACCATTCTGTCATTATGTGGCATTTCTCCACTCCTTTTCTCCTCCAAAACTCCGTAAAACATCAGCACAAGAGGCCAACATGAGTGGATTATAAAACAGTCCACTAAAAGTGAAATAAATCGAACTCACGGCTTTCGATCACCGTCCCGTGAGTTCTAACTATTAGGAAACAAATTTATCAACCTTCCTTGACATTTAAATGCTTAAATACATAAATTAGAAGTTTTCTTAACTATAAAGTACCTTCCGAAACTCATACTACAAATTAAAAAAGAGGTGATATAGCGATACTTACATCGTAGGGATCGTTCTAATGTTATCGCTCCTTGATTTTGTACCCGGGATGTTAATATTCTTTGGAACCCTTGTAGAGAGCGTAAGGGTAAGTTTTTGGTGGTTCTCTAGTCGTGTTCTATGAAATATGAAGATAAAGACGATTTAAAACCCTATATATATCAACTTTTGAAAAGTCAAAGAGGTGCTAGCTTGGCACCCTAGCATTGGCCTTTCTTCCGACGCTTATATCTTTTTATTTGGGCGTCATATGAATGAATGGTTAAGATCATTAGAAACTACATTCCAAGACCTTCAATTTGGTATATAATATGTCCCAAAAAGACCTCATATAACACACAAAATGTATTGCTCAAAAAGCATTAGTGACACACCTACTTGTCACCTATGCAGCCTGCATAGTCTCGCAAAACTGCAGATATCTCTCTACTCCTATGTTGTACCGACGAACGGTTTAATGCATTAGAAACTAGAATCGTAGATCATCAATTAGGTAGGTAGAAGTAACGATTAGGTAGAAGTAACGATTAGGTAGGTAGAAGTAACGACCCGCCCGGTCGTTTCGATAGCTGTAGCCCCGCTACCTTATTTTCTACTTCTTTAGTGTTCTACAGCTGTAGTTTAACTTACCGGGTTAGTTGGTTCAGGTCCGGAGTGATTTCGGAATGAACTGAGACACTTAGTCTCTTATTTGAAAGCTTAAGTTGGAAAAGTTGACCGGATATTGACTTATGTGTAAACGACCTCGGATTTGAATTTTGATGGTTCCGTTAGCTCTGTTAGGTAATTTTGGACTTAGGAGCGTGTCCGAATTGTGTTTTGGAGGTCCGTAGTATAACTTGGCTTAAATTGTCGAAAGATTAGAATTTTGGAAAGTTTGACCGGGAGTGAACTTTTTGATATCGGGGTCGGATTGGATTTCCGGAAGTGTGACTAGGTTCGAGGTGTCATTTATGACTTGTGTACAAAATTTGAGGTCAATCGAACGTGATTTGATAGGTTTTGACGTCGTGAATTTGGAAGTTTAGAAGTTCCTTAGGCTTCAATCCGGGTGTAATTGGGTGTTTTGATGTTGTTTTGAGTGATTCGAAGGTTCGACTGAGTTCACATGGAGTTATATGACTTGTTGGCATGTTTGGTTGAGGTACTGGGGGCCTCGGGTGGAATTCGAGAGGTTTCAGACTTGGTTTTGGAATTGAATGAGCAGCTGAAGTGTTGCTGTTGCTGGTGTAATCGCACTTGCGGAGTGGGAACCGTAGGTACGAGTCCGCAGAAGCGAAGAAGGAGACGCAGATGCACCCTAGAAGGAGCTGGGTAGAAGCCGCAGGTGCGAAGACTTTCCCGCACCTGCGAGGGTCGCAAATGCGGGTAGCTGGGCGCAGGTGCGTTGGATGGCCGCAGGTGCGATGGACTCCCGCACCTACAATAGGCGCAGATGCGGTCATGAAGCTCTGGAGCGAAGTCAAGGATTTTAAGTGAAATCTGCACCCGCCATGGAATTTCTGCAGGTGTGGCGTCACAGAAGCGACAAGAGGTCCACAGGTGTGGTATTTCTGGGAAGAAAGACATCAACTCGAGGGTTGGACTTCCATTTTCGATTTTTGGACTTGAGAAGCTCGGGAGAGAGGCAATTTTTTGAGGATTTTCAAGGAAAATGTTGGGGTAAGTGATTCTAACCCGGATTGGTCTAAATTTCGTGAATCTATGGCTTTCTTCATCTTCTGATTAAATATTAGAGTTGGGAATTTGGGGGTTTAGGGCTTGAAAATTGGAGAGTGAATTTTGGGGTTTTGGATGACCAAATGGTGTCGGATTTTGATAAATTTAGTATCGATAGACTCGTGAGTGAATGGGAGCTATTACGTGCAAACAATGGAAATTCAATAATAAGAGTCTGATCTTCTCGCTTAAGAATATGCTAGGGTTTTGTGACCTTTATCGAATTTTGATACGTGGGCCCGGGGGCCGGGTTGAGCCAATTTTGGATTTTGAGGTCTAATTTAGTAGTTTTCTTGTGGAATTGATCCCTTTAGCCTATATTAATTGTATTGTACTGTTTGTGGCTAGATTCGGGACATTCGGAGACCGACTCGCGAGGCAAGGGCATTTTGGAGTAGAGTTTCCCTCGGATTGAGGTAAGTAACAGTTATAAATCTGGTCCTGAGGGTATGAAAGCCCGGATTTTGTGTCGTGTGACTTTTTTGAAGGTGACGCACATGCTAGGTGACGAGCATGTGGGCGTGCACCGA